GAGCGAGGCGCCGCGTCATGGATGGGTGAGGATCCGCTTTCACGTGTGGCTCTTTGGGTGATTGCTCGCTTGGTGTGCGTTGTCTGTTGGCTTTGGGGCTGTGGCCGTGTCTCGTTGGCTGTGGGAATGAGCTGGAGTCGGTGGCGGTGTGTCGCTTCTTTTCTTCTTCCATTGGTGGTTGATTGGTGGCGGTGTTTGCCTTCGTTGTGTGGAGGGCCGAATCCTCTCACCCGCGGACTGGCAGCACTGCGATGGTGTGTGTATGTGTGAGGGCTGGTGTGGAGTTGCCGGCCAGGGCGAGGCCCTTGGCGATGCCTTTCCCGCCTGTCTTTTGTTTCTTCCGTGTGTTTGTGCTGCCTTTTGCTTTTTTCTCCTGTCATCCTCTCCTGCTGTGTTCCTGCGTGGAGTGGCCGCATGCTCACGAGCCATGTTGATTGTGAGTGCCTCTTGACGGCGTCCATTCATCTCTCTCCGCCTCTCTGTCTGTCTTTCCCTGTTGGGTGTGGCGTGTTGCACCGCGTGAGGGCTGGCCCGCACACACCGACGGCCCGCCGTGACTTGCCGTGTTGCTGCTCTTTTCCGTGGGCGATGGTCCTCCGTGCCGTCTCCTCCGGATTGTCTCGTGTCCCGCTCTCTGCGTGGGTGCTCTGCCCTAACCCCCGCTGACGTGTCTGATGTATTACCACTGTTATTGTTCTCCCCAATTATTGAACACAGACACGCTAGGAAAATAAGCGCTAAACGCTACTGTGAAATTCGAAGGCACTGAAAGGAACAACAGCACACACACCGCCCATACGCACATATTTATATGCTCTCACGTGTTGCTGCAGTGAAGGCACCCCGCACGCACAACCGTCGCCGCGTGACCGGATCCAGCGGAAGGAGGAGGGAAGGAAGAGAGAGTGAGTCGCAGAGGCCCAACATGTCCCGGCTTGTGTTTGATTCCACAGTGCTGCTTCTCCTCGTCGTGATGATGTGCTGCGGTGGAGGTGCACAAGCTGGTGTGGGAAGTAATGCTGATGCTTCAACTCCTGGGTCGGCATTGACGGGTGCCATTGCTGGAGAAGGGAGTGCTTCAGGGGGTGTTGAGGGACTGCAACGGGTCGATCTTTTTGTGCCGCAGACGACGCAGGTGCTGGCGAAGAAGGGGACTGACTCAAGTCGGAGGGATTCATTTGTTTCACCCTCTCTCGTCAGTGCTGGTGGAGTAATTGCTGCTTTTGCCGAAGGTCACGTAAATGCCAAATATCAAGGTGGTCAATTGACTAAGCCGTCTTTTGATGTTGTTTCGGAGAACATCGACTCTGCTTAGGAATGGTCTACTCTTGTTGGTGAGGTCGGTAAAGGAAGAATGGAGTGCACACACTGTGCTTGGTAAAGCGGAGGGAAAGAGAGTTTGGATGTTGTGCTCCGCCGCACAACAACCATGAAGGGCAATAAGGTGTTTCTTCTTGTGGGAAGCACTGATGTGTCCTATGTAGATGGGAGTTGGAAAGAGGGCGGCTTGGAACTAAAACTGGTTGTTGGTGAGGTCACGAATCCCACGGGCGGAGAGTAGAGTAAACGGATCAAATGGGGCGAAATCCAGTCTCCGTTGAACGAGAGTACTATAGCCGCTCACAAAGGTAAATTGACGGAGTGCCTTGCTTCTGGTGGCTCAGGTGCTCTGATGGAGGATGGCACCATTGTGTTTTTTCTGATGGCGGTGAATGAAAAAAATGATGGCGTTTACTCCATGATTATTTACTCGAAGGACAACGGCAGTACCTGGTCGCTCTCTGAGGACATTTCCCCTGCGGAATGCCTTAACCCCGCGTCACCGAATGGGAGGGATCGCTTCTCATGATTGTTGACTGCGAGAATGGCCAGAGTGTGTTCGAGTCGCGTGACATGGGGACAACGTGGACGGAGGCCATCGGGACACTCTCGAGCGTGTGGTTCAACGCACGACCAAGAGCTCCCTGGGACAAAAGCCTGCGTGTGGGAGACCTCATCACCGCGACCATTGAGGGAAAGAAACTCATGCTGTACACTCGGCAAGGGCACCCCTTCTGGGGGACTGAAACCAAGGCACTCTACCTTTGGGTCACGGACAATAGCCGCACGTTTCTTCTTGAGGCCCTTTCTACGGATCACGCTGTGGGTGAGACGCTTACCAACGCCCTGCTGTACTCGGATGGTGCGTTGCACCTTTCACGAGAGAGTATTGTGGGAACGCGCCGGGGCATATCCCTTGCCGCCTGACGGAGGAGCTGAAGACGATCAAGTCCACCCTCAGTACTTGGGCGAGACTGGACGTCTTCTTCTCCAAGTCGTCCACACCCACGGCTGGTCTGGTTGGATTCCTGTCCAATACGTCGTCCGGTGGCGACACGTGGATCGACGAGTACCGTTGCGTGAATGCAACGGTGACGAAGGCAGCGAAGGTCAAAAATGTTTTTAGGTTCACGGCGCCTGGGTCCAGGGCAATGTGGTCGATGAGCAGGTGGGGACCCAATAAACAGTACGGCTTTGTGAACCACAGATTCACCCTTGTGGCGACGGTGACCATCCACCGGGTTCCGAAGGGGAGCACTCCTCTGCTGGGTGCGGGTCTGGGGGACGGTGCCGGCAAGAAGATCATTGGGCTGTCGTACAGCACGAATAGAAGGTGGGAGAAGGTGTTCAACGGCACAAAAACAGCGCCGGGGAGCACATGGGAACCTGGGAGAGAATACCAGGTGGCGCTCATGCTGCAGGACGGCAACAAGGGCTCCGTGTACTTGAATGGCGAGCTTGTGGGGAGCCCGGAGACGCTACGAACACTTGAGACGCGGGGGGCTGAAGTCTCATTCTTCTACATTGGGGGCGACGAGGGAGACATCAACAGCAATGTGACGGTGACGAAGGTCTTTCTGTACAACCGCCCACTGAGTGTCGGTGAACTAAAAATGGTCAAGAAGAGCGACGCCAAAAAAGGTAACAGTGACGGCTCCATGCGTGGGGGCATCTCTCGGATGCTGCTGTGCGGCATTGTGGCCCTTTACTGAGAAACTGCAGTGAGGACTTCCTGCCTCCAGCGGGAACATATGCATCTGGCCACGCACTCTTTTAAATTAATTGCCACTTTCTGTGACGCCTTGTTTTAACCATTTTATTTTACTTTGTACCCCCTTCGCCGCGCAGGTCCATTCCTCCATGTGGAAGCATGCTCCCCCCGGGGCCATCATCGCGTTGTTTTTGTTTGGTTGGTTTTTTATTTCCCCCCGTGTTGTGGTCCTCCGACAACGGCGGGATCTACTCAGTGTTTTTGTTTTTGTTTGTTTGTTTGATCAGAGGCACGCTCGGCTTTGTGTGCCACGCCGATGGCGCCGGCTAATAAAGGAGACAATGGAATGGGGTGCACGAAACCACGCCGAGTGTCCCAGTGGAATATCAATAATGTGTGGGCACCGGGGATTTAAACGACTATAACGAGTGTGACGTATTTCTTCATTATCTGCAGGCGAAACAAACGCACCGATTTGGATGTCACGCAGCAGCGTGCAGTTTTTTCTTGTTTTTTTTTTTTGAGTGAATGCGTAGTGGAAGACGGATTTATCCTTTCTTACTTTCCAGCATATTTCCCGCGGCTCGCCACGGCGTGGGCAGCCGTGCGGTGTTGCGTTTCAACATTCATCCCGTTTGTCTTTTTCTGGCGCTCTGCTGTGGTTGTATTTGCCCTTAAATGCTTTTTTTATTTTTTTTTGGCCGTAGGCAGACACACGAGACAGTTACACGATATAGTTATTGCAGTGTAGTTGGTTGCTCCTCTTGTACTCTGTGCTGGCGGTTGCGTGTGGGTGCTTCTCCCTCGTTGTGTTTTTGGGGAGGAGGCAAGCGACGGCGTCGGTGGAATGGCGCCCCAGTGGGAGAGGGAAGACGCTGACCGCCGCTGACGGTGACGGTCTTTGCTGCGGGTGACCTGACGGGATGACGTCACCGGTGCCACATCCAACCGAGATGGATGTGGGCCGCACCTTTGCTTTTTCCCTTCTCTCTATCCCTCAGTCTCCTGCAGATTGACGAACTGCGGGGCAGTGGCGTGATTAAAAACAGGACGTCTATGAGTCAACAGGCCGCACAATCGGTGTGGACCCTTGTCCCCCGCGTCTGAGTGCCGTCACCGCACTTCTTCATCCTTCCTTTTTGTGTGTGCCTTTTGCGCGTGTGGTGCCGATCTTTGTTTTGCAATGCCAACCTACGTAAGGGAGGAAAGACGCCTTTTCTGCTGGCGAACGGCGAATTCTTCACCCCTCTTCCGTGTCACCATTTCTTCCTTTGACGCGCTTGATGGTCGCCGGTTCCAACGCTGCCACGTGGTACTGTCTCGGCCCTTGTTTGTTTTTCGCGGCATCGGGACTGCTCTGTGGTGGAGCCTTTTGCCTGCAAGAGCGGTGCTAATAGCCATTTGCCTTTTTTGCTGGGATGGCGCCACTCTGTATGGTTGTGTAGGGCTGCATGGGCGGTGGGAGGGCGATGGTGTTAACGGCGTGGTTTCGTCTGCGCTTTTCTTTGTCGGTGGTTTTGCTTTGGCGGGGACTGTCTGTGGCCGGATGCCTCCGCGTACCACTGTGTTTATTTGCTGTTGTTTCCGCCTTTTTATTCCTTTCCTGAAAAAACAGTTAGAGATACTTTGGCTTGACCAGCACAACTATCGTTTCAAGGTGTTAGGAGTTACTTGCGGTATTAGGATTGGTAGTAGTGGGATAACGATCTGGCGGAATTGTGTCTCTGGATTTCCCATCTGTAGGAAGGGATTTGTTAGACAGGAGTTACGGTCGACGGGGCGAGTGCGATACGCCACGACAGCTTTATTGGTACCTGTCTGGGTCGGTGGATGCGGTCTGTTGTGGGTGCGTGTCCGCGCAGCCGGCAC